CCATTCATTTTATTATTAATTTTGATATTTCATTTATGGAAAAATGTCATAACTGAGATTAATATAAAAATAAGATCATATAAATTAAAGTTTAGCAGTAGTTAAATTTCATAAGATGATACTGTTACTTGTAGGTACCCTTCTCAGTTGAAATTGAAAACTCAAATTAACTTCTCCATACGTGTTTCGCAAAAGTAAAGGGCTTAACAGCGGAGAACAATGCTGAACTCAAATAATGCAACTAAATTGTATTCTGGTTGGTCTTCCGTACTTGATAATTACTGTCCGACTATAAACACAAAAATTACATTTCTTAATTACCATGGCTAATCTGATTGGTCCAAATTATACAATTTTCAAAGCGCTAGACAATGACAATCTCACACGGACATTTTGAAAGGTTGATGTTGCTTTTAACTAATGTTAAAATATTTTTAAAAATTCAATTTAAAAATTTTTTAAAATCTTTTTAAAATTAAAGAAATAAGAAATAATTGTATTAAAAATTCAATTTTCATTGAAAAAAAATTTTGCTTTCAGAAAATATTGTCCATATTCATAAAAACAAATTAAAACAAATAAAAGCATTTGAAACTAAATAATATATTTGTTTTATTGAGTTTTGTATGTTACAATTCACAGCTGATTTTCAGGTACGTTGGCCAAAAAAAAAAAAAAAAAAAAAAAACATGATTTGCATTCTTCAAAGCCTTGTGCTTTTAACTATTGTAATCACTAAAACCGATGGTCTCGAATTTCTAGAGTTTTTCATAAAATTAGTTATGGGGGTGTTAATAAATATAAAAAAAAATATTTCTGCCATGACTTTAATAAAAAAAAAAAATATTTATAATAATTTCGATCATCTGTGAATAGTTTCTGAAAGTTTCATTAACATCTGACAATTATTTTTATTTTTGCAAGATTTTCCAAATTAATGTGTGTAAATACAAAAAAAACGCGCTAAAAATTATCTATGTTATTTACTACCCCTTGTTGCGACAAAGAGAAACAAGGTTTTTTAAATCAAAATTTAGAATATTCTAAAAAGATGGAAAAATTTTTTAAAATAATTAAAAAAAAATTTAGTCTATCCTCTTCATAAAAAACAAGCATTTTGACGATAAAATTTTGTTTTCATAAACTTTGGCGTCTTTTTCATCAGACTATGCTCTATGTTTTAGCGATTCCGTGGAGTGACTTAGGTTAAAAAACCCAGGTTGTTTGTGTGTGTGTGTGTGTGTGTGTGTGTGTGTGTGTGTGTGTGTGTTCCTTTATATATGGGATCGGATTTCTTACATTTTTCAGCCGATAAAACAAACATCCACTTTTTTTTTTTTGGCAGGTAGTATTTCTTATTGTCTTGCACACTTTTTTCTTTATTTATACATTCAGAATGCTTTAAAAATTCCATTTACAAGACAATTGTTTATAATAAAATTCTAATTCTATTCAATCGATAGACTCATCATAACGATATTGAAAACAATGTTTTTGTTTGAGTTTGACCACCAATTCGTAAAAAAAAAAAAAAAAAAAAAAAAAGACATGCGTGTCCGTCAACCTAAACAATAATCTAACGATCTCTACTGATTGTACGAATCGAAAAATCGGATAATTCTTTATCTTTTAGGGAAAGATAATTCCACGTACTTTAGGGCCGTTTTTTACAATTCCCTTTGCAATTTGTTACAAGGCAGATCAATAAGGCATTGGTTCTATTTGAAATTAATTCAATAAAGAAAGTATTAAGAAATAATTTAAAAATGCCGACGTAAGAAATCTGATAGACAAAAAAAAACAATATTTCGAAGATGATAATTATTAAGGAAAGAACACAGTACTTGTAATAAATTAATAAACCCAAATAAAGTTAATATTTTTTTGTATTAGAAACAACGAGTGGAAAATATATTCAAATCAGAATTCTAATTATGAATCACCACAAGCAAAATATGCAATTTTTTTTTACTGTATTCAATAAGTAAAAATCATAAATTGTAAAAGATTACAGAGAAAGGCTACCTACATTTTTCAACCGATTTCAACAAAACTTCACTTTTTTTTGGCAGGTAGTGTTTCTTATTGTCTTGCACATTTTTTTCTTTATTTTTACATTCAGAATGCTTTAAAAATTCCATTTACAAGACAATTGTTTATAATAAAATTCTATTCACCAATCGATAGACTCATAACGATTGTAAACAATGTTTTTGTTTGAATTTGGGTTTGACCAATTCGTAAAAAAAAAAAAAAAAAAACTAATTAAGACATGCGTGTCCGTCAACCTTAAACAATAATCTTTGTCAATTTTATTTTTTCAGTCTTTATGATGGTCATTTGATCTATCTCTTATGTTACATCCCAGGCAACGCCGGGCTCTACTAAAAGTACATGTTTTAAAACTAAGAATATATTATATTAAAGAAATACCCGTCATTGACTGGGTCTGGAAGAAGCTGCCAAAATTGTATCATGTTTTTTGAAAAATATTGATTAGAGAGTATTGAACACATAATAATAAATTGTTGTTAATATTCATGAAGGTGATACAGATATATCCATCCGGTTAACGCAATAGAAAAGACTGCCAGTTTTCATGTAGAACAAAGAAGTACTTCCTCAAGGCCAATATTATCATGGTTGCATATAACTTTCTGGCCTGTGATCTGTATATTTTGGTCTATAAATGAAGCAATCAACAAATATATAACTAAATAAAAATTTGAGGAAATCTATAAACATATGCATATTACAATATTTATTTAAGTTATACAACAAACATCAATATACCATTAATGTTTAATATCAGTAATTTTAATATGTTATTAAATTAAGACATTTTTATGTTTATACATTCTTTATTATTATTATTATTATTAAATCCAGTTGGCTGATTGCTGTATTCCGTTGAGTATTCATTCTGTGCCTCGGCTCTCGTACTTCTGAAGTTTCAGATTGTCTGGCAGATGCAGTCTGCTGAGTATCCATGTTACATCTCATTTCAGTTTCTTCTTGAGTTTCTGATTGCCTAGCTTCTGCAGTCAGTTGAGCATTTAATACACGTCTTCTGTCAGTTTTTTCTTGATTTTCAGGCTGTCTCGCTGCTGCAGCCTGTTGAGCAACTAATGTCTACGTCTTCTGTCAGCTTCTTTATATTCAGACTGTCTTACTGCTGCAGTCCAATGAGCATCTAATCTTTGTCTGGGATCAGCTTGTTCTTGACTTTGTGACACTCGTGAAGCTGCATGACTTTCTGTGTCTTCTCTCCTTTTGTTCAATTGATCTTCAGTTTTTTTCTGTTCTTTATCTTTTTCTCCGCTCGGATTGAATAGGTGGTCCGAAACGAAACTTTTAGGGAGGCATTGTAGTAAGAGTGTAGCCTAATTATTAGTCGCAATAGTCTGCTGTCAGAACAGACATCTGAAAGATATAGAGTTGTTTAGGTTTGATCATTATACGATAAACGACTTCAACGAATTCAAATAAATAGTAAAGTTGTATATTAATGAATTGTAGTTATTGTATGTTCAAGTGATGCCTCCTTAGTCCAAAAAAAAGACAAGATTTATGGAAAAACTACACTAGGATCCATATTAATTAGATCATTATATAAAATTGAAATAGTAGCTATTGTGTAGGTTATATTAATTTACCGTATCAATTGTTTTGATGCAAAAATGAAATGAATATAAAAAGATGTATGGCTTAATTTTTTTTTTAAATCCATGAAAACAATTGTGTCTGGTAGTTTTTTGCGATTTCTTCAATGTTTGGTTGAATGTGAGATAATCAAACCCTCGTTTTGTCTTCAGTTGAGCGTAATCTATCGCTGTATCATTAGTACTTCGACGCACACATACTTATTTATTCCGTGACAATATTTCTATATTAATCGCGCGGCACATTAGTGTAAGATCGGTAATTCCATCAGAATCACTGGTTTAGAGCTTTAAAGGATTAATTCGTTGCGGAGCGCCATGATCACCCAAGGTCCGAAGAAGATATTGCTAGTTATATAAACTACTATTGTTTATACTATTTTTTAAATTCCCACTTTTTTTTACATACATCATACACAATGGCGTAATTCTTGATAAATGATGTCATAAGATTTCCCAGAAACACCCGATCGATTAAATTGGCCAAGCAGGTATCGCTGGAAAAAGCTTGTTGCCATTTTTATGTCTACGAGTATTACTGGTATCATGTAATCCAACGCTACCTAAATCAGTCCCACCACCAGGCTTTTTTTTTTCTGATGACGAAAGTGCTTAGACATTTGGTGTAAAACTGAGCCATGTAATCTCTTTCCAACTGACAAAGTGTCTTCGTACAAGCAGCACCACGTTCCCGGGCGAACTGACTATTCTCTCTCGCGTGGTGTTTTTTATGCCGAGCTGATCTCGCAAAAAAGTTGCATACGCCCAAACACTTTCGTCAATTCTCCTAGCTCCAAGACCATGTCTTTCTTAAATTAAAGTGTCGGCCATATTTCTTTTTCCTGTCCTTCACTCGTTTTGCACGCCAGGTATATACGTGTTTGCTTTGCTATACGAGGTAAGTTTTCTACACTCCAGTCCCGCCACAAGGCTTTTTCTGGTGACGAAAATGGTTAGACATCTAACAGAACTACAGAAAGATTAACCGACTTATAGGGTCAACAGCCACCTAGCACAATGGCTCCATAGCTATGTACGCTAACAGTGTTACAGTTTCGCTGGCCTGGATGGGCTTCCTAGGCTGTTGGGGCAGAGAGTTCTCTCTATAGAATCAACAGCCATGTGTCCATAACTAAGGTGGGCATTAAAGTTGGAGGATATCGGCTGTGGGTTGACCTGAAGAGGGATGGGACTCGTTAGGTCTACGGATAAATGAATGCCTCTTGGGTTTCAACTGGGAACTGGTCGGGTGCTCAACTCTCCAGCAACCCTATGACCACACCCGATCATGGGACTGATGATCAGGGTGATGAAGATGATGATCTCATATGGCAAATATTACAGCACCTGGTATTCTCAAGCGGTCACCCATTTAGGTACTGACAAAGCTTGACGTTGCTTAACATCGGTGATCATACGAGAACAGGTTTTTCAATCTGATAAGGTCGTATGCCTAAAACATTTATGAAGTGCCTATAAGAAAGAAAAAAAAACGAACTATGATTTTGATTCCCGTGGGGGAAGAAATGGGGAATTGGGGACAAGCGTTAGTTTTTTGTTTATTTGTTTTCCCTAAGCGTGTATTATTTGTACGTTTTGAGTACATAAATGCGTGTAGGATGGAGTGCTGAAAAGTGCTCGACGCGCCCCACTTCCTAAAATCAATGTTTTAATGAAAGAATATTTAATGAGGTATCAGAAGAACATGTAATAGCATTAAATAATCTTAAATTCAGCTGCAATGGTTGAAAGTCGTGTTTAGCGTTCATTAGAACGTGAAAATATTATTCATTATGGATTTTTTTTCTTCAGTGTTATAATGTCACGGTCATGAGCACATTAAAGCGTGAAAAACAGTTCCTTTACAGGCATTTCAGATTATTATTGCAGTATTCATAGTTGATTCTGCTCAGTGGCGGCTTTAATTTTTTAATATAGATTGCTTCGAGGATCTGTAGTTTGAATTTGTTATATTCTTAGTGTAGGATAGTTGTGTTGTCGATCAGTAATATTTTATATTGTGAATGTAGACAGGGATGTTGTTGTAGATGTCTCGCAATATATATATATATATATATATATAGGTCGTATAAAATAATGGAAGGACCACTTTTTATTTAACTATTTTAACGATTTCGAAAAAGGACTAATTGTTGGAACATTGATGGCTTCAGTCACTAAAAGCTGAAGTTACAGATGTGGCTCGGATTGAAGAATCGGAGAGCCGACTTCGAATTCCAGTCAGCTCCATTGCATTCACTTACATGCTAATACCCTTAGGAAAGGTATGAATCCTCTTCTTCCCCCAGCTATGGGTGAATAACAGGACAGATTGGGTTTTATAGCCTTGTGTGTCAACCGGTATAGGAAAAAAAGAATTCAAAACTGTATGATGATCCCGACTATGGTCAAATCCTTAACAGACTGGGTTCAATAGCCTTGGGTGGCAACCGGTCTGGGTGAAGAAAAACTCTGAATTCAAAATTGTATGTAGCCCTGGCGAAGGACATACTATGCAGCTAAAGAAAGGATCGTTCGCATTGATTCGAAGATCCCGAATATGGTCAAATCCTTAACAGACTGGGTTCTATAGCCTTTGGTGGCAACCAGTCTAGGAGAAAAAACTCTTAATTCAAAACCGTATCTAGCCTTGGCGAAGCACATACTATACAACTAAAGAAAGGATCGTTCGCATTGATTCGATGATCCCGAATATGGTCGAAATAGAAACTTACGACTATTTCGAAATATTATTTATATCTTCATCAGCGATGAAAATTGCATCACCATGTGTAGAAGTTTAATTTATAAGAAAACAACACTATTCTATGAAAAGCGATTGGCACAATTTCTGTTATGGTTTCTTGTTTTAACGTGAACCCGATTAAAAGCCACCAAATTCAGCTTTTTTTTCGATAATAAATCAATTTGTATTTACTGAATTTAAATTATAATTATTCGTAAATAATTTTTTCAATCTTTTTTCCCAAATTGCTTATGGATTCAACGTAAACATTTTGATGTTTATCCCCAGTCCGATAATTGGTACCATTGGTGGGGCATCATGGACGCCTTCTTCCTGGCGACCGCAAGCGACTCCTCAGCAAGATTAAAAAGCAACCAGTAAAAGTTGTGAAATATCTGGAACCTGAGTTTTGATGGTTAGTTTTTGGTCGTATCTTTTTTTCCTTCAAGAGACTATTGCTTGTCAAAAATTTTGATTTGAAAAATAAAAAATGATTTCTTTGATTTCTCAACATTGAGGAAGAGAGTTATTTATGGTGCAATGGAGCATCTCATTATGCTAAAGTGGGATAGTCCATTGCTTGGGCTTTGATTGGCTGCTGGTACCTGAGTGGAAGTATTTCTATATAAATACCAGCTTAATTTCAGTTAGTTTGCAGGGTTTGTATTAAGTTACAACCTGCTTTATTTTTGTCTGCCAGCTGGACGCTAGCTGGAACTCTTACGCCGGTAAGTGTCGTTTATTGTATTGTTATTCTACATCTCCTTCCCCCCATCGCGTGTTGGTAGTGGCCTTTGGGGAGGGATTTGTTCCTTTAAACCTGGCTGGTTGTGTGGAAGTAGTCTGGACAATGCCCGAGGGTTTTTGTCCGTGTTATTGTAGACGGCTGAGCAGTGTTTGATGGTATTCCAGCGTCGAATGTTTGTGGCAATGGTGTAGGGATCTCAGGTAAGGCACTAGGTCTTGGAACTGGAATTGTTGGTGTATCCAGTTTCCTGAGAAATCGGCGATTTCGTAAGGTAATTCTACCTGATCCGTCAACTCTGATACGGTATTGGTGGTTGGGGAGGATTTCAATGACCTGACCTGTTGTGTCCCATCGACGGGTTGTTGGTCTTTGTAGTGCCACTATTTGTCCTTTTTGAAGGGGGTTTAAAGTGTGTGCTGTTCTGTTGTATCTCTCTATGAGACGAGCGTTCCGCCGGGACAGACTTATCTCACGATTTTGGGCTGCGGTTATCCACTTCGCGTGTGGCTTATAGAGTGTGGGGTGGGATGGTATGTAGTCACGTAGTCGGCGGTGGAGTAGTAGTTGAGCAGGGGATAGCCCAATGTTTTGAATAGGCGTATTCCTGTATTGGAGGATGGCTCTTGCTGCACGGTTATTATCCAACGATCCTTGGGCTCCTGTGTTGCCATTTATGATTCTTTTGGCTGTTTTGACAGCGAGCTCTGCTCGACCATTGGATTGTGGGTAACCAGCAGATGATAACCTTTGTTTAACAGCCCAGTCTTGCAAAAATTGCTTGAATGGAAGAGATGTGAAGGGTGGCCCACCATCACTGCTGAGTTCCTCAGGAGCGCCGTAGGTTTGAAATATGTCTCGGCAAATCGAAATAATCCTTGAGGCATTAGCTTCTCCGTGGCTCAAGTGGTATAGATTCAGCCAGCCCGTTAACCTGTCAGCGCATGCTAAGTAACCATGGTTTCCAACATGGAAGATGTCCATGACGATTTGCTGAAATGGCCAATCAGGAGATGGTGTCAAATTGATTGGCTCTTTTGGTTGACTCAGGGCAATTTTTGAGCAGAACGTACAACCTGCTCTAATGTTACGAATTGAAGCATTCATCCCGGGCCAATAAACAGATTCATTGGCACGTGCCTTCATGCCAACTTCGCCTTGATGTGCAGAATGTAGGCTATGTAATATTTTTGCGCGTTGTGAGGTGGGGATAACAATTCTTTGATCTAAGAGCACTAACCCGTCGTCAACACTTAGGCGGTGCCTCACTTCCCAATATTCGCGGATTTCAGGTGCAGTGAGGATGCGCGTTCTTTGGAATCCGTTTTGTATTACTTCAATTAATTTTTTTTGTATTGCGGGTCGCTGCGTCCCGCCGTACGGATAACGTCTGGTGAGATGAGCTCCAGGTTGTCATTTGCACCGAATGTTGCTAATAAGGTTGTTGATTTGACCCAGTCATCCATGTTGTCAGACTCTATGATGTCTGATTGAGAGGGTTCAGCAGTGAATACATTTAGGAGTGCCTGTGAGATGTCTGCTGGGTTACGAGAGACAGCATCGGAGGCTCTGTGCCATTTCCCAGGGCAGTGCTGAATGGTGAATCTGTACCTGAGGGTTTTCTCCTTTAACCTGAATAATCGGGGTTTTGGATTTTACTAAGGTCTCTATCTCCGAATAATCCTTTTAGTGGTTCATGATCTGTAACCACTATGAGATTCAGGCAACCCATTACAAAAATCCGACATTTTTCCAATGCCCATGCAATTGCTGCTGCTTCGCCTTCAATAGGTGCATATCTGCGTTCAGCATCAATGCAGAATCTGCTACCAGCAAATATCAGGCGCCAACCTTCAGGGCAGCAAACTGGGGCTTTGTCAGTGGTGCATGAGCAATACTTCTGCAGAAGTAGGAAGCCCATTCCGTCTTTGCTCCAATCTGGGGCAAGGCAGGTTATTCTTTCTTTTGAAATGTTGCGATGCCTTTTCGGACTAAGTCAACTATGACCTTCTTTGACTGCTGGAATGCATCCTCAAGGCTTTTATTCCATGTAAAGTGTGAGTCTCGTTTTACGAGATCACGAAATGGAAGCATGACTGGGCTTAGTGAGTATGCCCAAGCGACTTGGTTGACCAGCCCAAACCATGATCTGGCATCGGTGAGTGTTTTGGTATTGGGAAGCTCAATATTGCCTCCAGCATGGATTTAGAAGGGGTTACACCAGAAGATGTTATTTGGAGGCCCCAAACTGCACCGTGTCTTGGCAAAATTGGAATTTTTCTCTATTTATTACGATGCCGTTTTTTGCACAATGGAGGAGAAAATCGAAGGTGTGAAAAAAGGCTCCTTCGATGTCAGAGTCATAGAGTAGGGTGTCATCCACGATTTTTACTTTGCGGGGATGTCTTTTATTACTTCATCATACCTTCGGGTGTAGGCATCGCCAGATGCTAGGTAACTTTGTGGCATTCTCAGGTACATGAACCTTCCCCATTCTGTGATGAAGGTGGTGAGTGGCTGGGACTCTTTATCTAAGGGGATGGAGTGATATCCATCAACAGCATCCAACACTGTTTTCTTTTTGTTTAGGTGGCACTTGTAGTGCTAGCTGGAATGGTGACCCTGTATGGTGTGTTTCCCCGTTTGCACTGTGAATTCAAGTGTTGGTAGTCTATGGTTCTTCGTGGTTTGCCATTTTTTTTGGCGGTAATTACCATAGTGCTACACCAATCAGTGGGCATGCCAACGGGTACTGGGGTTATGATACCCCTTTTCACATCTTCCCAAAGGGCCTGTTTTACGGGCTCTTTGAAGTGAAAAACACAGGAAATTGGGTTATGTCTGGCTTTGGGGACTGCTCCTTCTTTGAGGTGTATATGTGCAGTGGGGCCAGACATCGGTGGAATTCACCATTGTTCTTGAACGCCGTTTCGGCAAATTGATTCAATAGCCAATTCTTG